TAATTTGAAATGCCTGTTCAAAACGGAGAAAAAACATGTCATTCACATTCTTAGCATTCATATTCACATAGAAGAAACTATAAGGTGCGTCATTCACTGCTTGATGATACATATCTAATAATTGCTGTTTGTCAACAATGGCGCTATTTTCTTCAATAAAACTCATTAATTCACTGGCATTTTTCAACCTAAAAATATATAATGAACTGGCATTTAAACGAATGATAGGCGCCAACACATTATATTTCTGTGTTGAACAAATTACGCTTACTGCATCGTGCCTACCTCTTGTAAATAATCCATGTAATAATTTACTATATCTAACAAATTTAGGATCGTCGGCGTGATCGTCTATAACGATTAATATTGAATGTAGTTTCTTTATCTTTTTAGATTTCATATAATTAATTATTTTCTTCTGTCTTTCAATTACATTTTCTAAATCACTTGGATTATAATTATCAAAATAAATTTGTTCTTTTTCATCATCCACGTGCAATTCATCCCTGATATATTTTTTTAACTTCTGTAAAGGTTGGGTCATTATGAACGCTGGGGGAAAATATAAATATTCTTGCAAATGAATTTCTATAAACATTTAAGATAAGGTTCTGAACCAAGACTGTTTTGCCTCCTGTCGAAGAAGCAACTATAATACTTCTAAATGGTAATTTTGGCACGTGCTCATATTTAGATTGTTTGAATTCATATTCAGTTATGTTTATTGGCTTTATTATTGGAACATCTGACATAATAAAATAATATTAAAGTTATTTAGAAAATATTTTATATTGATTATTTTATATGAATAGAAGCTATTCAGATTATATCAATATAATAGATGAAGTAGAGAATATAGAACAAGTTGTTATAACTGATAATAGATGTAAAAAAATATGTTATTTTGTTTTAGAATTAATTAAGTTTGTGATACAATATATCAAAAATAAAAATGTAAATATTAATATAAATGGGAAGAAAGAAAAAGAATAAGACTGAACCAGTTGTTTCTTCAACTGATGAAGACAAAGAAGAAGTTGTTAAAGAAACATCAGTTATTGAGTTTGCTTGTCCGATGTGTAAAAGAATATTAGAAATGAAAAATGAATTAGAAATTCAAAAGAAAGGAAATTGCAAATGTTCGTGTATTCCAGCCAGTTTCAAAATAAGTAGAAATGATAAGAAAATGAATATTGATAAAACTAAAGACAGTATAAACTTAGAAACAGATGTTCATAATATTGCTATTCGCTTTGGGAGGGGAGTTACTCCATCCGATAATGGCGATAAGGAAACACAGGAAACTGTTAAACAAATGATGAAAAATTAGTATTTAAAGAGTAGATTTAACATAATTTAAACATTTAGTTTTAAAAGTTTTATTTTATATTATAATATATATATATTTACATGGATGAAGGATTAGAAAAGATGGTTAAAAAACTGAACAAGGTTTTAGAACAGAATAAGAATATTTTAGAAATCTTACAAGAAATGGAAAAGAAGAAACCATTAACAAACAGTTATCAAAGTAAAGAAGTAGATAGAACCAATGGTGAATATAAAAATAAAAGAAATATTTATTTAAACAAACTTAATAACAAAGAAATTAAAGAACCGAAGGCTTCAACTATGACATTTTATCAAATTGACTATGATGAAGATACAGGGGTTTATTCTTGATTGAAAACATTTTCTCTGAAAATCCGTTTAAAGACATATTGGCATAACTAATATTATGAGTTCTACAGATGATGAAGAAGAAACAGGATGCACAATGGTTTATCCTTGCAGTAAATGCGACGAAGCAAAGCCAAGAAAGGATTTTCACAAAATGTATGATAGAATTAAAATGGAAGAAATATTTTACAAAACATGTAAGGAATGCAGAGACAAAGTAAAAGCAACAAAAGAGTTAAGGAAGGAACAGAAGAAACGAATACAACCCCTGGAAATACATAGATTAAAGCCTTTGATTCCATAGTTTTGCTATACTTACAACATGTAAGATCTTATATGTTGTAATTATAGTGGTACAAATATTTCTATAAATTATAATTTCTCTGAAAATGTATTTAAAGACATATTACCTATATATGTATATTAGGACAATGAGCGATACAGAAAGTGATACAGAAAGTGAAAATAGTCAATATAGTGATACAGATAGCGAATATAGCAAATATAGTGATACAGTCCGTGAAGATATTGATGCTAAACATATATTCAGAGAAAAGTTTATGAGTTATAAATGTAGAGACTGTGAGATGCTAAAATTACCAATTAAACAAGGTTTTTTGAATGGTGTTTGTGATAATATTTGTCAATGTATGATATGTGATAATTGCAATAAAATTATAAACGAAATTGATGATATGAATAGCAAATATATTAATACTAGAAATGTTAAAAATCTTGATGAAGATTTAGAAATATTTGTGTTTATTAAAATGAATAAGTTCTTGACTGAAGAAGAGTTTGGAAATTTATTATATAAGGGCGATGAGGAAGGAAATGATAATGATTTTATTTTTAAGTATTATAATCTGGTAAAAAGATTATATGGTATGTCTTTTAATATTAGGCGTTTAATGAAAGAAGCATTGAATGATAATGACTTTGATTTTTTAAGTTGTGAGTATAAAGCTCACGAACTTAGATATACGGTAATAAGTGCAATTAGAACAATGGGCTTGTTTAAAAAGGAAATAGGAAATAATATATATAATGAAAAAACGACTGAGAAAATAATAAAAAGAATTGAAGAAGAATTTTATAATGAATTAGAATAAAGTTGAACTCATAATATAATTATAACATGTAAACATTTATATGTTATAATTATACTGTACTTTTCCCGTATAAGCCGTGGGGGTGCTTTCCTACAAGGCCTTTCCCATCCGCATTTTGCCATCCAATGTCACACAGATTGTTTTCAAGATTTGGGTTAACGGTTTTAATTCTCCCTTTTCCATTGGTTAACCTTTTTTCGGGGCGAACGTAGGGTTCTTTTTTAGACTGCTTTGTATTTGTTGGAAATGGGAAAGGGTCTCAGGTTGGATCAAGGGAGGAATTATTGAGATCTTGGGGTTGCGATCTTGGGAATGAAAAAATGTTGGTACGTAGCTTGGATTTTTTTGTGGGATTTGTTGAGGTGGTATGTAGTTATGATTGTTGTTATTGAATGAGTGTAAGGGTGATGTTGAGATGGGGTAAGAAATGAAGATGGGTATGTGAATATGTGTTTTTGGAGTTGGATTGGTTGGGTGATTGAATTTGAATGTTGAAAATAGGTTGTTTTAGTGGGTGTATTCAGAATGTGCCCAAAAGTGTGGGGGGGACCCTAGGACCGGATGGCAAAATGCGGACGGGAGAGGCCACCACTAACTGTTTGGGGGGGGGGTCTCCCAAAGCGATTTTTTTTCCATGGGATAGAGGTACGTCTTGGTTTTTTTTAATGGATTTTCCAAAAATGGTGGTGATCCTTTTGGTTTCCCTTCAGAGCCGCGGAAAGAAGAAAGAAGGCACCCCTCCAACAAGTCATACCCATAGATGAAATATGAAGCAGAATCTGAAAGTAGTTCTGTTTTTGTGTCCCAGATGGACCAGGTTTGGGTTTATCAAAATGGCGGCACCACCAAGATGTGTAGTTTCCTTTTGGTTCCCTTTATCTCTAGCGGACATTGGGATGCTCTGCCTGGAAATCCTGCGAAAACTAAGAGTAAAGCAACTGTTGTTCGAACGGTTCCTATAGACATGGTCCCCACGTCCCTTGGTGGAAGATTAGCGAACGCTGTCCTTTGGTCTTCTTTCCCCAGCGAGTTCTTGCCTTGTGCCGGGGTCTTCGGAGCAACCCTGAAACAGGAGCCAATATTCCAACAGCTCCTAGGCGTTTTTCAGCAGGTGCCTGGATCCCCAAAGGTAGAAAGGGAAAGCGCGAACCATCATTGAAAGCTTACATAACCCATTTTCATGGGTGGTTTGAGGGTTCGGGTCGACATGTTGCAACTGGATGTTGGGAGCCTCGCAGAACGCGTTGACTTGGCCAAATGTTGGTGGCCTCTTGTTGTGCTGCTTTCCTTTGTCTAGCTTTTCCAGTAGTGCCCTTTTACCAACTTTTTGAGGGGAGGTTTTAAACTAGATTACAGAAACAAGTTGGTACCCTTATTATTCTAACCTCTCTACTGCAGGACCTAGTTGTAGTTCAACCCTTTCGTGGGGAAGCCCAGCTGTTTTACTCGCATGCGCGATTTTTTTAATGCCAGCTCACTGCCATGTCGGTCCAGCAGGTCTGATGAAGGGAATCGCCCCCCCTCCCCAGTGCTGCTTGATTGCTGTTGGATTTTGGACATGGGAAAAAGAAGAGCAGTTGTTGGGTGCTGGTGAAGCAGGTGTTTCGCTACCACGTTGGAACTGTCAATGTGCTTGTCCTGTTCCAAGTGGTGGGCGACAAAGTCATACACATTCTCTATTGGGCAGACTAGTTTTTTCCAAAACAGGAGGGGTGCCTGTCTCCATATAATTGGACCCATCTCCACGAAAAGTTGTTTTTTTGAGTATACCATGTTTTGTGCTTTTAAAGGGAAACCAAAAGGAAAGCCACCGTTTTGGCGGGTCCAACCTTAACACGCATATACACAAAAAGCGGTGTCTGCAGGCCCAACAAGCTCATCGATGGGTTCTGCACCTTGGCGCTGAATTAGAATGGACCCTCAAACTACCCGACAACACATGGGCATTGGGGCATTGGGGTGATTGCTCCTGGTTTTGACAGGGGGGGGGTAGTGTTTTAATGGGGAGCACATTTTGATGGGTAGTGGGAATCCCAGATTAATATCCTGCTGTTTGATTTGGGGGCTGTCCCCTTTTAGTTGGAATCCTTCACTTTGGTGGGTGACACCCGGCAGAACATGGGACGGGGTCAACATTACTTCCTTTTTACTTTTGGGTTGAAGCCACCATTTAGAGGGTTATGTTGAGTGGAATGGTGATTTCGAGAGATGGGTATGTGTCAAACAGGGGAAACGCCCCAAAACTGGAAGGTTGCTATGAAAAGGAGGTCTGTGCACTTTCATGTTTGGTGAGGGTGGCTATCTTTGGCCTTTGGAAAGCCGGCTTGGTTCAGAGGGATGTATGATTTGCATGTCGCCCAAGCTCCATATGAGTGACATTTACCTTTTTTCGCCACCCAGCTGTGGCGTCATGTGGTGGAAAACCTGGAACACCCTTGGTGGTCTTCCATGTGGGTATGTATTTTGTGAGGGCCTTTTGGATTGTTAAACGGCAACCTTCAAGGCCTTGGCCAAGTTGCTCGCCTCGCCTCGCTTCTCAGGTCCGGACGGGCACCTCAAAAAGACCAACCGCTACCGGCTCTCGCTGACTTGCAACGGCCTGGACTTGAGGGCCTTTCCCTTCGACACCCAAATCCTCCCCATTCGCCTCAAGGCGCCGGTTTTCGCGTCGTCGCGCCACGCCGGACGACGGAGCGACGGAGCGACGGGCGACGCGGGGTTCGGAGAAGCCGTCGAGTCGTAGTCCCCTGGAGTTTCGCATTTTGTTTCATTTGTTTTTGTGGGAGACGAGCATGTGTGGAGTCAACCCGCGAGAACTCGAGTTGGGTTGGAGGGAGAACTCGGCCGACTTGGTTTCTCGTTCCTCTAGAAAAGGGATCGCAAATCGCTTTTTCCGATGGTACTCGTTCAGCAGTTTGCAACCTGATTTCTTGACTGCTATTGGGTTGGATCTTTAGACTTTAACTTTTTGGGGAAAATGAGTTTTCTACTAAACCCGCCCTTGCAGCAACACCCCCGTACCCCCAGTGAACATTCCAATCCCCACTAAAACAGGTTCAAAGAATGGGTGGTGAAGTCACCCATCCCCCAATTTTTGGAGATCCCAAACCTGTTTTGACCACAGCCATATGCTCATCTCCCCTTTGCTTCAGCCGCGAATCCCTCCGCCTCTCCGCGCGTTTTTTCGCCGCGAGGCGCGGAACCGGAGCCAGACCGAGGACGGGGATGTGATCCTGGTGGGCCCGGAAGGCGGGCGAGACGGCCGCCGGCCCGGAATGCGCGGGGAGCCGCGCGGAATTTTTCCTTCCCCGCCCCAGGAGGCTCCCGAGTGAGTTGGGGCCCTCAAACCGCCAGGCTTTGAGACCGGCTCCCAACCTCCGGGGTGGGCAATGGAGGGGTCGGGGTTTCCATTGAAAGGTCCAGGAGCCTTCGGGCCGGGTCTTTTTGGGAGGGTTTCTTTTAGCAGATTCTGCCCCTTCCCTCCCCAAAAAAGGAAGATCCAATGTTTGCGCCCAAAACGGTGAGTTTCCTTTTGGCTTCCCTTCCAAACACCCGAAAAAAGGGTACAGACCTCCAAGAATTCGCCATTTGGGGTCCAAATTTCCATTTTGCGACGCACACAGAATCAAATTGTGCTCACCATGTTCCATCGGGAAGAAGATTCTGCCGAATCAAATCGCTCGGATGCCTTCTGGACCGCTCCAGAACGAATGTTCGAGCAGTCGAAAGTACTACGTAGCGGGACATGCCCCGCAGTGAAACCATGTGGGTGTGTGTTTTTGAGCGTACCTGTTTCACCTCAGCTTAAGGGAAACCAAAGGAAAGCCACCATTCCTAGTGTCCTCAGATGTTGGCACACATCCATGTTGCAACAAAGGTTTATGCGTTGATCATGCTTGATCTGTGTTGGGAATTGCCGGGGACCCTCCAATATAGTCAAATTACGAATCGAATCCCATCTGCATGTTGGTCAACCTTCTGCCTATCTTGCTCAAGGCCATTTTACCTGGACCCTCAAAGTACCCCAAAACGGGTTGCCCCCAATCCTATGGGGTGATTTCCCTTTTGCGCAGTTTTAGGGTCCAGGTACTTCGCCCAGCCCTTTGGGCAGACCAATACTTCAGCAGAGGTCAGAGCACCGGGGAGTGGAGTCTGGGCCCAGCGATGCTGGACTGAACCGGCTTTTTGGGTGCTGACCCCGGTGATTGTACGCAAAAACCAAGGGATGGGCATGGACGGCCTCGTCTGGTTGTTTTTTTTTGTTCCCCAGACCCTCGATTTAAGACCCCTGGGTCGACATTCGCGAAGCCGATCCCTGGGAGGCTTGAACGGCCACGGCCTCAGTTCAGGGTTCTGGGCTGGGGGTCTCCAATCCCAAGCTGAAACGAAGAAGAAGTCTGGAGTGAAACCTACCTGTACCCACAACAATATCCCAAGTCACGTGAAGCAAGAGCGATGTTTGGATTCAAGCCTACTACTCATAAAACCAAGCTGTTGCCCCAACACCTAGGCACCACTCTTCTGGCATGCCATTCTGCAACTCTCACGGGTCCCGTCCCCACGTCTTTGTCCCTGGCTTGTGTAGGACTTCTTGCGGGGGGGGGGGGGTTGTGGCAGCCTACGACATGGATTGCTTGCTGGAGTTGAGTTTGGAAGATGGGAACCGGTTCCGAGCTCGGTTTCAAGCTACACCATGTGGGGTCTCGATGCATGCGGTCAAGCAGATCGGTCCATAGGAAGCCCCTGACCTTAAGGAGCCCTGAAGACAAGCCGATGGTGCCATCGAGATGTGGGGGGGGGGGGGGGGTTGGCAAAATGCAGAAAATGCGCGGCGGTTCTTCGACTTCATTTCAGGAAGTTGGCGAAGCAGAGAAATAAACGTTGTTTTTTCAGCTTGCTGAAAGGCCAGTTTGCGCCCTTGCCGCAGGTGCGGGATCCATCTCACGTTGAGCGAACAAACAAAGAGTCAATTTGTAAGCAAAAGAAGGTAGACAACAAAGCGAGACAAGCAAAACAAGACAATCAACAGCAAACAACTTGAAGCAACCAAATCCGACAAGAGCAAAAACAACGAAACCGACCGACACCAAGCAAGCAGCAAACACGTAGATCAACGAGGACATCGAAGCGCATGTTTGCTCGGCCGAGGGGAACACAAGAAGCAGGGCTTGCGGCGCATGGGCCACACGGTGAAGATGCAGGCGCGAGCGAGCAAAACTGAGCACGGCTCAACTGGCTACGTCCCCCTGTAGTGCCCTTTCTCACCCCTTTTTTGGTTGGGAGGGTTCCCCTACTAAAATAGATAAAACAGAAAAAATCGGGTAATTACCCTTATTCTGACCTCTCTACTGGAGGACCTAGCTGAAGAGTACTCCCCTGCGAGTCTCACGGGTAAATGGGAAACCACCTAACCACCAAACCGATCCAAACCACCAATTAGAGTGAATCTGATTTCAGTGGTAAACTCAAAGTTTTTAGATTCTTTGGTGCCCATCCACTTGATCTTGCAAGTGAGGTACTCCCATACTGACCTGGCCCTGCACTCCCTCAGCTGGTTGGGAGGGAGCCGGACACGCTGGGAGCATCCAAATTTGCTTTTGAAGAGGGAGTCTTTCGGAGCTACAAGGAGCTACTGGAAGAAACCTTCATCAGAGGAATCCCTTCGAGGAAGTTGCTTTCGGAGCTGTTTGGGTTCCATATGGCTCAAAATAAAACAGCTGGTTAATTGTTACGCAGGTCTTGGTCTTTGTTTCTCTCCAAGGGGCCCAAAAACGGGTACCACCTTTTTCAGCCACAGCCCTATGAGTTTGTGGAGCATCGAAGGTCAGAGCCCTGCGTAGCCTCTTTCACGTCAACTTCCCGCTCCTCAGGGTTCCCTCAAGGGTCGTGTCTCTTCCGATGTGATCTCATCCCTCGGAGGCGCGAACACGGCGCGAACACGGCGGTTTTAAGCCACACCATGTAGAAAGGCTGGCGGTTGAAACTGGTTTCTTGTGAAGGGAATAGCGTCTGTTTTTTTTTGCGGATACCCCCCTTTCTGGCGGATTTAAAGGGAAACTGCAAGGAAAACCACCATTTTGGGGGGTCTCCTATGTTAAGTCACCCACATTGATGTTTTGAACGCGGCTTTCAGACAGATGCTGTTGCCTCAACGCTGCTTCCCCCCCCCCCCTCCCCCCCCCTCTGCAGGCAGATCGACTGGCGGACTTCAAGATCCAGCCGGGAGCTCCGGAAGGGGCGGGATGATTTCTCCCGTGGTAGGCGTAGTGCTCACCGTAGGTTGGGAAATGACCCTTGTGTTCATTTCAGGTTCCATGCCATGTTTTTGATGGCAAGTGGACGAATGTACATGCAATTGATGTCCGCCAAAGAGTCCCCAATTCCGTGAGAGCATATTTCGCCAGCGGAAACCACAAGGGAATAGATGATCTCAACAACATGGACAAGCTTTAGACCCTCTGTTGATGGGGTCAGTCTTTTCCGTTCGCTTGGTGATGTTGCTGTCTTTTTTCTTCAGCATGGGCATGTGCGTTTGTTTTTCCCGCGGCGTTCCCCGAGATGGTTGGGGCCCCACGAGTCCACCTTTTCGTACTTTGGGTCTGTCGTTTTTGGAGTTGGAACCTCCTTTTTTTGGTGGTTCAGGGAAACCAACAGGAACACCAGAGCAAAAGCAGGACCCCTAAAAGACAGGCCCATGTGTTCCTCCTCTTTCTAGGGAATGAGAACTGGAACGAACCTGGTCCCTCCAAGGAAAGAGCCGGCACCGGGGTCAGACTCCATTTCTCCTGCCTATCTCTCGCACCGATCGCCGTTGATCCCTCCAGGATCCCCACTTTCGGCCGTCCCAGGTCTCTGATGGGTCTCCGCACGGAGACCCCGGACCGATGGTACGAGGTGCGCATCATTGTGGAGCGCAGTCCAGGCCGGGTGGCCGGGTGGCCGGGTGGCCGGGTGGCCTGGGTGGCCGGGTGGCCTGGGTGGCCTGGGTGCTGATGTGAATTTTTGGATTCCAGAGGACTCTCGGTGGTTTGTTGTCCTTGGCAGCTCCTTTCGGTCCAAATCGTGTTTCACGAGTTTCAGCAGCTTGGTGTTTGGTGCCATGAGTCAAGGAAAGCGTGCAAACCCTGCTCCCATCCCATCCCACCCCCGTATGTGTCAGTAGAGTCTTGGCCGTTGATTGCTCAGATTGGTCGACGTAGTTTCGCTTGCTGTCCTTACTGGAGCTCAAATGCATTGCAGTTGCGTACTCACGGTTGACCTAGATGATTGACACACGGGCAGGCGAGTAGGGTTGGTTTGGGGCAACATGAGTCGAACACTACGCTCGTTTGAACTATCCACACGCAAATAAAGTCACATCCTTGACCCTCAAAGTACCCTTGAACATGAGATATTGCTCAACATCTGCGGCCAGCATCCCACATTTTTCAGTTTGAGGCTCCAGTCGAATTCGTAGATCTCTTCGGGGCAAATCTCACTCAACAGGTTTTTGATATATATTTTTCAGCGCACCAATACTAGGTCCCCCTGTAGTGCCCTTTCACCTTCCCCGTCTAAAATAGACAAAAAGCAAAACAATCGGGTACCCTTATTTTAACCTCTCAAATCTGGAGGACCTAGAATACCTCAGGGTGCCGGATGCCCGATTGTTTTTCTTTTTCGTCGAAACGGAGGCCACGCCATCCGCAACGTGGCGATGCCGTGCCTGGTGATCTTGACCTTCTCCTTCACCATCTACGCCATCCCCATGTCCGAGCTGGGCTCCAGGCAAGGAGAGAACCTGGACAGCCCAAAAAAAAACATGGCTGTGGGTCAAAACCGTGTACTGGTGAACATGAACATAGGTGGCAAATGGATGTTCATCCACCCCAAAATGGAGGCATAGGTTATGCCCCATGGCCACATGGACTGCTCTGGCAGAAATCAAAATCCCATGGATGGGGTTCAATGGGCCCCGGCGTTTGTTACGTCTACGATTAGTTTGTTCAATGGTGTGTTATTATTTTTTGGTTGGTATGGTTGCCTTTTTGCTGGATGAAAGGTAATCCACGACATGACCTGTCCCAAAATCCCCTGGTTGCTTTGTATTTCCGCAACCCCAAGGGTGATCAACTGCTTGGAAAATCGCCTTGGTGCTACGGTGCTACCCTCTTTCTAACAACACATTGCTTTGCTGACAGGAAGGGTTTGGAAGACTGTCCTTAAAAGATTGGAACCAAACAATGGGGTGTCAGAGAAAGCTAAACCAGTTTGGATGGCTCGTCTTTTTTAGACTTGGACCCCAAGTAGTGTGGTTTGTAGCCTTTGGTTTTCTCTGAAAAACCACAAAAAAGGTGCCTGGACCCTTATTAAACTGCCCGACTTTTCAAAATGGGCTACTGCCACCCAAAACCAGGGGGTGATGATGTCCCTTCTTTTCATGGGTAGTTGGAGGGTCCAGGTACCTTAAAAGAAAAGGTTGCTGCGTCCAGGTTGGAGAACACCGCGACTTGCCTGCTGGCGATGATGGCCTTTCAGGCACGTCTCCAGTCATGACTTTGGTGGCGCACGGATGTCCCTCCGGGACACACCCGTGTGTGTGTGTGGTCAAAATCGAGGGACCCCCAAAATGGCAATTGTCCTTTGTGGTTTCCCTTTTTAAAAGTCAGGAAAACCAACTGTTCGTTTGTGCAATTGAACCCACGTGAAACAGGGTGTGGTGTTTGATGGGAACCCAAAAAGAGACCCACTCTATTTGGGGGTCCTCACATCAAAAAAGGAAGTGTTCCGCAAATGCACTACGAATTTGGGTTTGGGAACCCACTCCTATGTAGAACAAGCTAGACAAGACATTTTGAAGACGCCATACCTTGAAATCCGAAACACATCGACAGAACTTTATCTGCCCTGGCACACACCCACTTTTATATAGTTTTATGCTTCCCCCCCCAATGCAGTGGATCTACCTTTTTGCTGTTTATATATATATATATATATACACATTTTGAGACAAGCCCAACTCTGTTTTTTTCTCGTGTTCTCAGAACGACGTTTCCCGTTCCGCAGGGCGTGGTCAATGACATGCTGCCGCCCGTCTCATACGAGACGGCCCTGGGTAGGTGCGGACCGGGTTGGGTTTTGAGTGCACCGTTGTTTTTTTGTTTTAACATATATATATATATATATATATGCAACCCCCCCCCCATGGACCCTGGTTTTACTGCCTTTTGGGGATGGCAAATCTAGAATTTCCAAATTTGTATTCTCGAAATTTCCAATTGTGGGTCCCCAAAGCGTGATAATTTGGAGCCCCGAGTCCTCCACAATGTCCCAGTATGATACTCTTTGCACATAAGATGTTACTTCAACTAGAATTGGAATTTTGAATATAGTTTAGTATGGATATAGTTTTCAAAAACCTGTTTATGTTCAACTACAGCTTAAACAAGCAAATCCTTTCCAAATAGCAGCTACATGAAAATGTAAATATATATTTTCGGCTAAACTCCAACTAATCTATAACACAAGAAGTTAGATGGAAGTGTTTTCCCAAATATAATCCAAGTGGTAAGTATAATCTAAGACGAACACAACTCAATTTGCTTTTGATAATATCAAGTGAATAGAGACTACATCTCAAATATAATTCATATTAAATATGGCTAAACATTTGGAAATTAAAAATGGGATTTGTGTTGTTTACATTCTGTCCCTTTTGTAGCATAAGAAAGGTCCGACATTGAACTTGTTAGACGGTGTTCCAAAGGGAAATTTCAAGGGAAGAGAGGTTCAAAATCTAAAACTATCTCGAAACAGGGATTCTAGCTAAACCGTTGTATTTAAAGTTCTATTTGCGCAGGAAAGTTAATTCTATGTCAAAAGGTGGAGGTAGTAGATGAGCAAATGTGGACAGGTAGTTGAAGAGGGTGGGGGACGGTGTGTGAACGTACATACATATGTATATCTATATATACACATACATACACACATATATAGTACCCCCAATGATCCTGCGCCTCCTCATAAAATACTGGACCAGTATTTTTGAGCGTTGCACCTGCCTTTGTTTACCTCCTGGAAAGGGGTCAACATGAGCATAGCTGACATGAAGCTCACCAAAAGCACTTGAAAGTTTGTCTAACCAATAACTTGAAAGTGTGTCCACTGGATCGCTAAGCACTTGAAAATTTGCTACTATCGGATGGAAGATTCAATATTGAAGATTACACAGAACACTTTCCTGAGAATTGTCAATCCTGGCCAAACCCAAATAGCATTCAAGTTCTTCTAACACTTGAAAGTGCTTTACCACTGGATTGGGGATCAATATTGAGGAGCCCACAAACCACCACTTTCCTGAGAATCATCCATCCTGGTCAACCCCTAAAATGTTCAAGTTGTTCTATCACCTCGAACATCCGTTACCACTGGATTGAACTATTTCACGGAAAACTTTTCCGAGAATCTTATTGAACACCGAGAGTATTGGGACAACCCTGGAATTTTTAAAACTTTTTAAAAATTATGGGATTCAAGATTCAACATTCAAGATTCCCAGAAAATATATTCTCACATTCTTGAATCTTGAATCTTGAATCCCATAATTTTTAATAATTTTTAAAAAATGTCTGAGTTGTTCTTGTATTCTTGGATGCATTCAAACTCTTTCAGATTGCAGGTGCTGATGTCATTGCTTTTATCACATCAGTATGCATGCATGCGTATCATATACATGTACGACCCTCCCCCCAATTTTGACACAAATCCAAGAAGCAAAAAGAAGCATAAAACACTGGAAAATACAGGTCAACCGCACCAAACCAGGGTCCATGGGGGGGGGGGGGGTACCATATATATATATATATACATTCAAGCAATAGTGTGAGCAACGGGCAACATGGCTGTATCATAGTATGGTGTTTTGAGGGTACCCATTTCGGGGTCACTTCAAAAATTGAAGCCCAAGGGAAACCACCCGGTTTTTTTTGGGGGGGGGGGCTGTACTGGTGGCCCCGGTCTTGATAGTCAAAGGGATGACGTTGGGTCTCGCCAGACTACCTTTACGAACGAGGGGTTGCTCACCAAATTACCCAGTAGTGCCCTTTCTCACCCCTTGTTTGGGTGAGGGTTCCCCAATTAGAATATACGGACAAAAGGGGTATCCTTATATATTCTATCCTCTCTACTGGAGGACCTGGCCAAATTCCCATGTCAAAGGGGGGGGCACAATTAATGTTGACTGTGGCTCATGTGAACGGCAGCTACATCCAGGCCTCACCCGCCCCTTGGCTACTTCCATTGGAAAAAGGGGATCCCCTTGACAGTTCATGTGCATGGCATGGTTTCCCGTGTAAGGCAATGAGGGTTGCAAGCCCCATGGGCCAAATGACTGCGGATCAAGCTGCGTTTGAATCCGAGGACTTGATCGAAGGCATTGATTGACGGACCTTGGCACACCAAATCAAATGTGGCTAAGTCATCCAAATTGCTTCTCCCACTGATCTCTACTTGGGTGTTTGATTCGCCAAGTTGGTAAGTTGTTGGCAACCGCTTGGTTCCAACCCTTTAAAAGTCCCTCGTTCAGTGGGGTTAGCCGTGTTATAAGGGCGTTATACACAAAAGTGGGTGACCACGTGCGAACTTGGCTGAACATCCAAGAGGATGATGGGGGATGCTGCTGCTCAGTCAGAAGGACCACCAATCCTTGCCTCAATAGCTGCTGCTATCCTCAGAGCTGTTGGTGCCCTTAGAGGCTTTCAGCTTGCTGGTGCCTTGGATGGCAGCCTGTCGCCTGTCACTTGCAAATCCGGTGCTGCAGCTGGTCCGGATAGTCCTACCTTTCTGAAGCCCTACCTTTCTGTGGGTAAGATAGGGGACACAAAGTGACGGAAGTGTGTCATCTACGCTGTAAACAGCCGTTACGCGTTCGGCCTTGGAGAAGATGCCGATTCGTGCAACGTGACCATTGGGTAGGTTAATCATTAGGCACCTAGCGGAACCTGGCAGGGCCGCAATGGAACGCTCACAAGCAAGTACTTTAACACCCTAGCACATCGTTTGTTGGCGTGTCACAGCTCAAAATCGGTTTGCAACGTGCAATCGACAAGTATAGGGCAGGTCCATGTCTTTGCGTCTATGTTTGGTAAACCATATTTGATCAATTACTCAAGTAGCAAGCAAACTGCAGGATCTCTTAGGTTTCCTCGAGCTTGTTTAGCTTTCATCTCTTGCCGTTTTCTATGCCTCCCGCCTCAAGAACCGGCATGGCAAGCGCTACGCCGAGCGCGCGCGCGCGCCAGGTATGTGACCGCTGTGTACATCATTCTGATGCGTGGGCCCTGGGCACTTCCTGAGTGATGAGTCAACCAATCCAAGCAACTGGCGACTTGATGGATTTGGTTGGCTTCCTTGGTTTGGTTTGGATCATGTCCAGCAGCTGGCGACCTGGTGTGGTTTGTTTGGTTGGTTTGGCCAGCTAACCAACCAACCGCACAGCCAACCAAACAACTAGGATATTGGCCCAGCTACTGTCCTTCAGACATTGATTGCCACAACACCTACAACTTTCTTGAGGCGCATGCCTTGCCACAAGTTTTGCGGATTTTATCATTGGTGGAGATACCTGGCTGCCTAGCAGATCATGAAGATGGTTTTGCTTAGAGCGATGCCAGGGTGAGCTTGGCAATCAACATTTTATGCTAGGCAGCCCAAGGACAGCAAGCATTGCCTGGTTTGTCGTTGGCAGAAATTGATTGATCCTTTGTTTGAAATGGGTGTATCTGCGATTCAAGCCCTACAGTAGTTCAGGAAGCAAGCACCTGAATACAATGAAGCATGGGACCCGCACGTGGTTTGTATGTTGTTCGTTGCCTTGAAAGCAGCGCCGACCTCGTTTACCCTCGGGTTGAGTCATCAAGCTCGGGCTGCATGTTTGGGAGGAGTCGGGCCCAGCTGGTGTTTTGTTTTTGTTTTCTTCTCTTTTTTCTCATTTGCTTCAGAATATGAGTTTAGCTTCCATTGGTAGGGAATCTATCACTGCAGTTTTCGTCCAGGGGGCTTACGCAAATGGAGGCTTTTGTTGAGGTTTGTTTGGGTCCCACATCGCGGCTGCCATTGAACCACTGCTTCCCTAGCTGCAGCTTTCTGCCTCTTTTTTTGGCACGGCTCAAACGCAACCGGGTCCTAGCAACTTGAAGCAAGGACTCTCCAGAACTTGCATAGCGCTTAGCTAAGCACGACATCTGAGGGTTGTTCACAAACGGGCTACCGGGGTCCAATATTAGGCTCTTCCTTTCCAACCCTCATTTGGCTGTTTGTTGTTGGCTGATGTTACCTCATTTTTTTTGATTTTTTTGGATTGCTTTAAAGGACAACCAAAAGAACAGCCACGCAGGCGTTCCCTTTGATGACATCACCCTCAAACTAGGCAAAAAAACAACAACAACCCCGACTTCAAGCTTGAGGGTCCTGGCATACCGCAGGGTTTATTCCATTTCGTTTTTTGCAACCTCCAAAAGTCGCGATCGGTTCAAGGGAAACCACCAGTAAGTTGATACACCATTTCACTACCATGTTTTGATCGTGATTCATTTATGACTCATTTGCTGATGGTACCCGTTTGAAGGGGAAATCCAACGACACCTGTAATGTGGACCCATGATTATTAAACCCGTCCCATAGGGGGGTGTTCCCTCCAAAAGTGATGAATCCCCACTAAAAGGGAGCCACCCCCCATTAATCAACCAGGGGTTCTATTTAGATCCGGGGTTAATATTACCCAATTGTGTCAATCCACCGGTCTCTCCGACGGTAGGTTTCACGGGGTGGAGCACGCGCTCTTCTCGACGCTCACCTCCAAGAGCGATTCCGTGGCGCCGCGGGACAGGCGACAGTGAGACAGAACCGAAACCGGGGAGAACACGGCCCACGTCTTTCTGGGGAAGGCGATTGCAAGGGAACATGTTTTTGTTTTCGTGTTCCTTTAGGGGAGGGGCGGGGGCGGGGGAGAAACTGTCAAAAACAATGATTGGGGTCATAAAACAAGCCTGTCTTGAAGAACGGAGGGGTCAAAACATTTAGCAAAAATGGAGGGGTCGCAAACTGGAAGGGTTAAGTAGAGAGGTCGACAAGTAGACTCACTCCCTGAGTTCCTGTGCTTGATGCTTTTTCGGGAAGACCTTTTTAGTGGCACAAAGTCAACAATCTTCTTTGGCCAATCCGCCCAAAAAGTGAGTAGAGGGGTTTGTCAAACCGTGTCAGGTTCGTGTTCCGCCTCCTTTCGATCAGATCGGTTTGACGAACCCCTTGGCCCTTGGAGCGCACGGGGCCCTTTTGCGGTGGGTTTGTGGTGGGTTTTCGATGGGTCCTTGAGCTTTTGCCATGAAAAAAGCCCCTCCAAAAACGACTTGTTTGTCAGGGTGCAAGGTGATTCCGTTTTCCCTGCAGATAGCCAAGGGCTTGCCACCCTTTAAACACCAGCAGGACAATCGCTGGGATGTTCCACTTTTGGATTACCCCAAGATGGACAGAAACACGGGGTTTAGCAAAGTGACAAGGAAGGAAGATGCAGCACTGAGAAGGTGACACACTGGTTCGGAGGCAGCATGTGCGAGCGGAATGGAGTATGCAAACCCAGTGGTGATTTGTTTCCCCCAATTGAGCTGGGTTGAACTCGCGTGGAACCCAGCGGTTGGTGCATTTCCCCCAAAAAGTTGGACTAAGTCTTGGTCTTGACTGCTATGGGGTTGGAGCTTTAGACTTGAACTTTCTGGGAAGTAAAGGTGTTTTCCACTAAACCCCCAAAAAGCTGAAACAAAAAAAACAAGAAGAAAACAACAACTTCTTGCAGGGGGGTCCTTGCAGCAACCAAGAAGCCACCCAAATAAAAATACCCCGGCACGAGACCCCAAACAGTGATAGGCGGCGGTCACACGCTGCAGAGTATTGTGCGGGCAGCGCCGCAAAACGGCGGTTGTTGTCAGGAACATCATTTTGCGGTATTGGTGCGCACACTCACAACATCGAGGACACGTGTGTGGGAGTAGAGACACATGCAGCACCAAGAAGAAAAAAGGCGCACAGGCATGGCCAGCAGGCATGCTCGTTTTTCTTCCATGAGCAGCACATATCGGTGAGACGGCAGAATCGCAGCACAGGGCTGCTGGGATAGATGCGTGGCACTGCGCGCAGCCGCAGCAGGCCAGTCTGTTGGTAGATGCAAAGGCGCTGCGGTCAAGGCGTGGTAGCTTGTTGCTGCAAACAGCCGACGCGGCGCACGCAGAGTGCTAGTGGCAAGCTCTCGCAGCACAGAAGCGTTATCAAGGCAGGCCCAAAGACTGGGCTGTCTGGCTCGGATCCTTCCACAGCAGGCGTGTACATAAAGCGCGCGCTCCCAGATCGCAGGGCGCACAAGAAGGCGTCAAACTCATTTGGCGCCATGTTATCGAGGCAGTTCATGCGGTGCAGCGCTGCGCGTGTTCTGCCACTGGCATTTCGTATTGCGATCCCGCACACACTGCTCACTTTCCTGAGCTCATCTGCACCCGCTCCCAATGCACGAAGGAGCTCTGTCACTCTGGCCGCTTCCTGCGCCGCCACGAGGACCTCTCCGTACTCTTCCAGTTCCCTCCCCATTTCGCCAGGCACGGCGTAGTCCAGAAGAGCCTGAAATGAAACCGCCGGCAGCACGGCGAGAAGCTTGTCCTTCGCCAGCGCCCGAAGCTCTTCCTGCTGCAAACTTCTCCCACCTTGTTCCAGCTAATCCCTGCGTTCTTGCACGCCATCCAGAAGCCCTGTCGATCCGAAGATAAACCTTCCAACAAAGCACCCGCCTGCGCAGCCGCAAGGTCTCCCAAGACACATGACCCGAGATGCTCGAATTCCGCGCGCACATCGGCAGGCGCGGCTTCCAGCAGCGTCGCCAAGATTTTTGCGCCCATGGCTGCGCAAGCATCACAACAAAAGGCAAGATCTGTGTGTGTTTGTTTCAACAGGGTGCCTGAGTTAGTGAGTTAGCTAGCTAGGTAGCTTCTTCCTTGGTTCTCGTTGTTTTGTCTCTGTATTTCTTTCTTTCTATGAATGCTGGTGCTGTTGCTGTTTGGTTGTTGTTACCATCGAGAAGCCGTCGCAGCACAGAAGCACCATCCAAGCATGCCCAAAGAAAAGGAAACCTCGCGCGGACAGGGCGGGAATCGAGCCCGGGACCTTTCGCCGGAAACCCGTGCCGCCGGACCACAAGACAAAACCCCCACGGTCCCTGGAGCCGCCAAAAAAGCAAAAAAATCGAGAAACGCACTTCAACATCAAGCAAAAGCAGGAATCTGCGGCAAATACCACGCGAAACGCTCGCGGACAGAAGTCGACACCTCACTTTCTGCGAGCCCGCGCAGTCGAAACACATTTCAACATCAAGCAAAAGCACGAATCTGCGGTACATACCACGCTCGCGGACAGAAGTCGACACCTCACTTTGTGCGAGCCTGCGCAGTCGAAACGCACTTCGACATCAAGCAAGAGCACGAATCTGCGGTAAATACCACGCAAAACGCTCGCGGACAGAGCGGGCACCTCAATCTGGCACCAAGGCCTTTTCTCTTACCGTAAGAAGACACACTGTTTGGGGAACTAATTCTTGTAGCCAACAAGAAGTGGATCTCTGGGTCAAGGGGCTAAAAGTGGGTCGACTTGTTGGGTTTTCCCCACGCATGGAACTTGAAAGTGGCGAATTCCAGGTCCACTTCAAAGCCAACCAAAAGTAAATCGACTCAAAGTAAATCAGTGGTTTGTTCCCCCCAAAAAGTTAGACCAAGTCTTGGGTTAGCCAAAAAAGCAAAAAGGTGGGCCAACTCAAAGTGAGAGGAATGGAGCATGCAAACCCAGTGGTTTGTTTCCCCCAAAGTCTTGGTGGCCAACAAAAAGTGGGTCGACTCAACCCAAAAAAGTTGTACTAAGTCAATCGGCTCAAAGTCGCAGGCCCATCGACATCTTCTTCTCGGCGGTGGAGTACTGGGACGGTAACAGCGACTACCTCCGCCAGGTGGAGGCGGTGCTGGCGCTCGCCCCAGCGAGTGAAACGAGCGGTGAACGGAACGGGACCAAAAAATGGGACCCAGTTGGCCGGGAAAAACGTCGTTCTGAGAACACGAGAAACACAGACTTGGGTTTGTCTTATATATATATATATATAAATATATGCATAGGTTTATATATATATATATGTACACATATATATATATATATGGCTATTTGGGTGTGGCTCAAAAGTGAACAGGAGGCAGGTTTTGGTCCATGTTTCCACTTACCAGGGTTCCAGTTTGGAATTCCGTTTTTTTGAGCCACAGCCATTTGGGGTGTGGGTCAACACGAATGGGATCCCATTTTGGGGTAGGGGGATTGGGATGTTCACCGGGGGTACGGGTTTTGACCTATAGCCATTTGGGTGTGGAAATCAAAATCAAAGAGCCAGGGCAAACCGTTGGTTTTAGTCTTTGGTTCCACTTACCAAGGTGCCATTTTGGTAGTTTTTGAGCCATTGCCGTTTGGGTGTGCGCCTTTTTTTGGAGTTGGTACACTTTTTGTTGGTTTTAAAGGGAAACCAAGAGGAGAACCACCATTTTTTGGGGGGTCCAACCATAAAATGGACACACCCAGTTTGGAAGGGGGCACAGAGCCTGGAGCGTCAAACCCATGAAGAAGGGACAACAGCCCCATGATTTTGAGGGAATATCTCAATTTTACAGGTCCAGGTACTCGAGTAGCTGGTACACTTCCCCCGTGTTGGTTTTGTCATCCCCTTCACTTACCCACAGCGAGTTGCACCATCTACGTTCACCCCTGTTGGATCCGGATTATAGCAAATCAAGCATCCCAGTGGATCCAGTTACCTGTATAATGGGCAACCAAGGGAACGACTTGTTAAAAGCAAGACGGCTGGTTCCCTAGCAGAAGGGATCCACCGCATATTTTGCTGGAAGCAAAAGTCAATCGGTATTCGGCACCGGGATGAGATGCCAGTACCAAGTGCTGGGCCCAGAGGAAGCACAATTAACGAACGGAGCGAGCCCAGGATTGGTTGCAACATTTGTCGAAACAACCCTGGGTTGCCGTAAAAAGGGACTGGAAGGGATTGGCCTTTCATCGCGCCATTTTCCGGTCAAAGTCACACCCCACGTGCTAGGATAAAGAGAAACCAGCTCAGTTGCTGGCGTTGGCACCAGCAACCCTCAGCCAGAGTTGAGAAAACCCTCCTGTTGCATCATGTTGAAACCTCTCTTCTTCAAACATCCTCCAACCGCACATGGCTGGATCGATCAGCCCAACTTTTTATGCCGTCCGTGAAAGGCTTCGAGCTTGGGAATCATGGGATATGTGGTATTTTACGGCTCGGAGTGTTAATATCATGTTTGTGTGCGAGCACTTCCACGGTTTTGATGCTGTTGTTGGCCCGCGAGAAGTTTGAATGCGCCCACAAAGATGGTGACATGTTGATGCGCGGCACCCGCTATATGGGTGTGTCTTTCTTGAGGGTACCCTGTGGCGAGTGGTTTTAACTCGAAACGGTCCCCTTTCTTAAAACACATCCATGGTTCTTTGGTTCAAGGCACCCGCCAAAAAAAAACTCAAAAGGTCCCTTTTTCCACCCGAAGAAACAGACAGGCAAAACCTGAATTCGATGTGGGTGTGCCTTTATTTGAGGATGCCCTTTTCGGGCTTAAAGGGAAACCCAGAGCAAGGCACCCATCTAGGGCTGTGACAAACCCATGTGCCGAAAGGAATACCAACCTATGGCAGTTCTCAAATCAAGGGAGACACAAAAACAAATGGTCGAGTGTCCATCCAAAAAGAGGTCCGTGTTCAACCGGCCTTTCGACGTGGCATTGATGGTTTCAGGTTCATTCTTTTCAACGCAAGCCGTGCTGAGGTCGTGGCTGAGTTGGTTCTCATCGTCTTCATTCACGTGGCGTATGCTGCTGGCCTATACTTGGAATCAAGTCGGTGCAAAATTGGTAGGCGTAGTGAATTTAGCTTTTCCTTGGCACGGTAGAGAAACAACGGCGGAACAGCCACAAAACTAAGGAGCCGTTTTCTCCCCCTGACCAGGTTCCCTATATTTCCCAAGTAAAGGTGGCTCTAAACCGCAATTTTGGGCCAATTCAAAGTGAGTGTCCTTGAAGTGGAGTTGCCAGGTTTGTCCTTTGTCTCAATCAAACGACTTTGAAACTCCCAACATGGCAACGGGTTACCCCTTTCGGATTCCCTTTCAAACCATCCAAAACAGGCCACACATCACACCCTTTGGGACTGTGATGACTCCCAGGTATTTTACCTCTTCTGGCTGCGGCGCCATGGAAAGGCGAGGGAAGACTCGAGCAGTGCCCTTGTCGTTTTTTCTTTTTTTTTTTCTTTTTTTTTTTTTTTATAATAATCTATATATATATATATATATTGTTTTTAATAGTATTATTATGTTTTTCCCCCGAGGGGTTGTTCGTTAATAACCCAAGAAGGGTACCTTGTTCCCATGGCCGCTGAGTGGTCTGGGCCTCTTGTTCATACTTTATGTTGGTTTAAGATGGCCCAACCACTAGCCAACCACTACCCTCGGGAGTATCGTGGGGTATAACACCACCCTGTAGCCCTGAGGCTTTTTTTGTGGGGGTACTGGTTTGGGGGTCGTTGAAGCCACAGAATGGGATCTAAAATAAAATTATTTCCCCAAAGCGGAAAATCTTTGAGGGTCCAGGTACTTTCTCTAGCTGACTTTGGAAGACAGGGGAGGACTGCGGGAGTCCCTTCTCGGAGACTTGCCAACATCGATGGCACTGGTAGTTTGCTTCCTTTGCATTTTCCGAAATTCGGCAGAAGGACTCTAGCTTACGATATCTGGGTAATTCTGAGGAGCTAAACAATTACTTAGTTGCATGTTGCTAAAAATCGACTTTCCTGGACCCTCAAAGTAGCTTTGAAAAGGGAAAAGTAGATGGTTCTTCCGAAACGGACCCCTATGGGCATTCGGACTCGCTTCTGTAACTCTGCTTTGAAATTACCCTCCAGTCTTATCTGCCTTTGGCGAGCAGTGTCACGTTTCGGTGGCCAAACAAGCTCACCATGAGGTGTCCTTCACTTGATCCACTTCTTACTTCTGGCTTTGTCGCAAAGATGTTTGAACATCAGATTCCAATTTTTCAGGCCCTCGTCAAGCAGAGTGTTCGCGGTGTCAGTTTTTCTCCAATCCCGGTCACAGGATTCGCAAGGGTCCCCACATCTCCTTGATCATCACAAAGGAAACTCGCTTTGGCAATCAAATGTTGAAAGCCAAGTAGGGAACCCTGTGACCCTCAAACTACCAATAAAAATAAAAGTGGAAACGCCCACCGCAAACTTATGGGAAATGGTCCGGAAATTGGCACTTGCGGAAATGTGACCTGGAACCACAGAAAAAAAAACACAAACGCCAGGTAAAACGCCACCTAAAACTACGTAAAGACACCACCAAAACCTCGGGAAAACAACAATAAAACAAGGAAAACACCTATTTTATCACCACCCAAACCCCCCCACGTCAAGCACACAGCGAAAACTACCTAAGCAAAAACAAGACCACACTAAAACCAAATAACACCACTCACAACCTCAAAAAACACCCAAAACCGCCTAACACCACTCACAACCACCAAACACCACTCACAACCTCAAGAACGACCACCCAAAACAACCCCCAACACCAAGAAAACAGCCACCTCAAACCCGGTAAAATGCACCCAAAACCACGTAAAAAGCGCCTAAAGCAAGGTACAACACCAGCCAAAAGTTCCCAACACCAAGACTAGGTCCCCCAGTAGTGCCCTTGACCCGTTTTTGGAGGAGGGTTCCCAAAACCAAACACCACTCACAACCTCAAAGAAAACACAGCACCCAAAACCACCCAAGAAACCAGAAAGCCACCGCCAGCCTGCGGTTTCCTTGAGGCCAAGCGCCTGCGGGAAGCCCAGCGCCCGGGGGTGTCGCTGGTGGACGCCCGCAGCGGCTTCGGCACGCGCCCGGTGTCGCCCCTCGGACGCGGAAACCGAGCCGCGAGTCGCGAGCCGCGCGAGGGAAGTCGCTTCCGAGTCCTTCGGAGGCGGAAGAGACCTGAATACCTCTCGTCTTTGTTGGGTTTTTGGGGTTTTGGAGCCTCAAGATGGTGTGTTTTCAGGCTTCTTTTTTGGGGTAGGCCAGCGGTTTTGGGGGTGTTGGGACCCTGAAAATTCGGTGTTTGCACCTGTTTCTTTCTTTGGGTTTGTCAGGGGTCGACTTCCTAAAAATCAACTCAGCTCCAGACTCAGCTCCTGAAACTCAAGTCGGGGAGGTCGAGTTCAAGGCTGAGTTGTTGTTAGTCCTTTGTGTTTTCTGTGTTTGTTGTGTGTTTCTTTGGAGTCTGTGCTTGTAGTTGTTTTTGCCGAGTTGCTTTTGAGTTTTCCTTGAGTTGCCGTTCCGTGCTGTTGAATTTCTCCTGTTTGAGCTCCGGTCACAAGCCTAAAGAGGTACCACATGAGTATCTCCCAGCCATCCACTTAGCTTTTTAGCCTTTTGGTGTTTAGTGATTTGACCCACAAACAGTTCAAAAAAGGGGGATCTCAGGGCAGCCAGCGGCCCAGTGTAGCGCTGTATCTTCACGGCATCGGATTGACGCGGCATCCAGCTCCGCCTTCAGGACTCGGTCCTTGGAATCGGAAGTAGGCCTGCGCGGGGGGGTGAGTTGGGGGCTGGGTGGGCTCGCAGTGGGTTTTTCCTTCAATCCTCACCTTGGATTGGGACAATTGAAACGGATGGGCTCACTGCCATCGAACAGTTGGGGCTCCCAGTGGGTTTTTCCAACGCCTCGCCTTGGATCGTTTGGACAATTGAAACGGATGAGCGGCTCACTGCCAGCGAACAGTTGGGGCTCCCAGTGGGTTTTTCCAACGCCTCGCCTTGGATCGTTTGGACAATTGAAACGGATGAGCGGCTCACTGCCAGCGAACAGTTGGGGCTCCCAGTGGGTTTTTCCAACGCCTCGCCTTGGATCGTTTGGACAATTGAAACGGATGAGCGGCTCACTGCCAGCGAACAGTTGGGGCTCCCAGTGGGTTTTTCCAACGCCTCGCCTTGGATCGTTTGGACAATTGAAACGGATGAGCGGCTCACTGCCAGCGAACAGTTTGAAGTTGGTTTCTTGGTGTTTTTTTTTGCAGGCAGTGGACCAACACCTTTCATCGCTCACGGGGTTCGAGAGCAACTCGAAGGATTGGCTGCCAGTCACCAATCTAAGCTTTGCTCCTTCTTGTTTTTGCCGCTTTGCTTTCAAACAATCCCGTCCGCACTTGGTTTCAGGTTTGCAGTAAGGACCGAAGCTGTGCTTCTCTGCTTGCGCTCTCTCAGTGCATTGCTGCAAGTTGGTGTTTCTCACCTGCTATGGATAGTCCCGTCTGGCTTTATTGCAAGTGAATCTTATGCTTCATGCCTGCTTTGAAGGATCATTGACCCCAGACGTACCGCTGATGGTTGTTATGCAGGGTGCGAGTGTGGTTTGTGGGGTGGAGGCTTGGTGCGAAGTGGTGCTTCACAACAGCTGTTTGACATGGCTGGTCAAGAATATACAGGGTAACCTGGCAAATGGAAAGTGTGTTTTGTTCACGTGTTGTTTCATCATGTGGCAAAACGGCCGAATGGCCGTTTGGCTCAAGTTTTTGGGAACTCCCGTCAAGTTCCCCTCGGACTCGCGTGCGAACGCCATATCCTGGCATCGCTCTCCGTCACCGCAAAAGGCTTTGTGGTGCCGCGGCGCTTTGGGGGTAGGAGGTGTTCGGTGGGCCGTCGAGGTGTCCTTGGGCCTGTCCCTCAAACTACTGTTTTGCAATCCCATTTCTAACCTCCCCAAACCTGATCTTCTTCAACTGTCACTCCCACAACCTGGTCATCAGCACCTTCTCCATTGTGCGTTGAGACTGGGTTCTTTTGGTACTTCGTGGATTACGTGTACCTCTTTGATTCCCTGGGCTACTTCGTGTTCGCCCAAAACCGCAGGTTATCAGCCGTACCAGCTAGAAGCTGGGGCTGGTGATCCGGTTGCGGGACGTGACCCGCTACCTGCTCCCATCGCCTACTTGTACGAGCAATGGCGTCCCCCGGAGCTTCTCATCGTGGGCCGGGCTTCGTGGACGACGAGGCCAACGCCCTTCGCGGCAACGCCGCGCCTGCTGCCCCCGGCTTAGACAGCCGGCTGTGGCCCATTCCCCCGATGGTGGGCGCAGAGCCCAATCCCGGGGTGATCACGGACGATTGGATCCTTTCTCAGGTTGTGTTTGATGAGGATGCGGAGGCCCCTATCCCGGCGGCAGTGCTCCAGATCGAGGACGGACCCCCTCTAGAAGAGGCTGAGGTTCCTCCAAATCAGGTGCCCTCATCGATTTCGCCTACTGTTCCGTTCGTGGCGCTCCAGATCGAGGACCGGGCTGTCCATCATGCTGCTCATCCGGAGCCGGCTCAATCATGGGCCCTTACATGGGATCAGTTTGACCAACTCCTCGGCAGTGGATCGCAGGCTACACCGCCTGATTTCGGTCGGCTCGACTTTAACTCGGGTGCCCCCGTTTCGGTTGGGAATCTGGATTTTCAATCCCTTTTTGATGCTGATTGGAGGTCTCAGCCTTCCCGAATTGACAGATCTTTTGATGCCCTGCCTACGCATGAGCCTACTCAGGGTTTTCCTCATGATGGAGAAAATGACCCCATTGAAGATTTCTCCCCTTCTCATGTTGCAGGTTCGGCCCAACCCGAGGTGGGCAAACGGGCGATTGAGGATTGGCCGCAAATAGCTGGCCCTCCTCCCGTCTCAGGTTCATCCGACATTGACATCATTCACGATCACCCCAGTCCGGCGGATATGGACTTCATCCCTGATGCAGTATCATCTCACCTGTCAGGTACCCGCGACCGGAATGCGGACCGCTACAACGCTGGTCCGAATCCACCGCTTTCCTCAGGTACCCGAGGTCGGGATGCGAACCGCTACAACGCGGGCTCAAATCCGCCAAATCGGACATCAGGTACTAGTCGATCGGATGCGGGCCGCGAAACAGCAGGCCCAAATCCTTCCTCCTCTTCGTCAAGAAGCCATGCCGGTCTCTTCGCGGCGTTCAATCGGCGTCAGACTCGAAAAGAGTCCGCCCCCGACGTCATCGACCTCGAGGAGCAGTCCAGCCACCGTACCAGCGATGGATCCGAGCAGGATACACCTGGTATTGGCTCTACTCCATTTGACCTCCTCGACATCCCCTTCCATCAGCCACCCAGGAGAGGAAATGAAGATGATGAAACCATTCCTGGGATCCTTGATGTAATCGATGAGGCCGAGGTCACACCAGAGAGACGAACTACATCGCTCCCGCCGAGCCGCGTTGCCAAAGTACTTTCCCCTAAGCCACTCAATGGTGACGTTGCTCAACGGCTTGATCTCACTCAACCTAATCCAGATCAAGCTCAACTTCGCGGATCATCATCATTTGATAATGTGTCGGGACAAACCGGCACTGACTCACGAGCCACAAAGAGGAGCTCTGAGTCACCCGAGAGACGTGAAGCTGCTCTACGACTGCGATCTAATCCCCCAGCTCATCACGATCCTATTGACGTTCCTATACACTCTGCGGGGTCTGGGCTCAGCTCCAATGCCCCGATGTCTGAGAAGGAGACTGATGACGGGATTAACTCTACGCCTAGGAACCGGAGACCTGGACTTAGCACTGTTGCCCCTGGATATGGAGGGCTTCCTTCGAATCAACCGGTCAACGACTCCGTTGTCCCCGCATTCTTTCAAATCGGAACTCCGGGCTGCACTCCCGACAGGGAAGAGAATAGTCGCGGAGATCATGACGCTGATAGTCGTCCTGCTCCGTCTGCTTCCACAAGTGGCGGCCATCCTGTTGCATCTGAGCTTCAACGACTGCTTCTCGCGATCCACAACGAGGTCAAGGGGTGCAAGGCCGAAATCCAGGGATGCAGAGCTGAGATTCGTTCATGTAGGGATGATATCAACGCTTGCGTCGGTGAGATCAAGAAGATCAATAACCGTGTTGACGCCTTCGAGAAGAAGGTTGAATCATCTTTCTCTGCCGTTGCCGGAACTCTCTCAAAACACGAGGCTAAGTTCCGTGATTTCCACGAGTGGGTCGCCCGAAGCGAGAAGGAGATGAATGAGCGTTTCAAGATGTATGATGAGAGATCTGACTCGATCGTCATATCCGCTGCTGAACTTCGCGAGCAGGCCGAATCACTTGAGAACGTCAAGGTCCAGCTTCTTAGGTTTTCTGAGATCGGGGCCCTTGAGGCTGAGGTTCGGAAAATCAAAGACGAAGTTGAGGCGAACTCTCGCAGTGTCATCGACATTGAGGGAACCATCTCAAGAGAAAGAACCATCCGTGGGAACGTCGAGACGTATATCCAGCATCTCGTTCCTGCGACCGACCTGAAGCAGTTCAGTGATAGGGTATCCGGAGCCCTCAATGAGAACTCACAGAAACAGGAAGAATTCAAGCTTCAATTGTCCCGCATTGCTAGATGCGTCAAGGACCTTCATGACAAAAGCTTAGGCCCCAATCCGAGGGACATGCAAGAGCAGTTTATGAAGCTTGTGCTGAGGGTCAATGAGATCAACATGCAGATCGCTGAATTGAGGGAGCAACCTCTTGCTGCCTGCGGATCCTCAAGTGCTGGCGCTGGTTCGACCGCCGGAACGGGATCATGGGAGAAATCTGGAGACACTGATCCCTTAACCCAGGGAAGGGCTCCTAGAGGTTCTCCTCCTCGTGATGCTCGCACCGTCAGCTCGGCGAGGCCTCCTCCACCTCCACCTCCTTCGGGGCCACCCCCACCATCACCATCAGCCCCCATCTTCGGCAGGGATCCCTCTAGAACGAGGGCCATTGCTCGGGCTGCCGGCGCTGCCCCTGATAACCGGGCCAGGTGTGCTCATGAGGAGCCCGGGCATCCACAGCATCGGGAACCTCGCTATCCATGCCGAAGCTGCGGCAAGTCAGTCTGCGAAGACTGCTTTGACCATGACTGTAACTCGTGTTTCAAGTGCAGCGATCAGTTTCCTAGATGCCGCGCATGCAGAGGAAGAGGGGGGAGACACGGACTTGTGAGGTGTCTCATATGCAAGGACGAGTACTGCGATCAACACATCGCTTCGCCTGACGATGTACGTCGTTTTGGGTCGAGTGTTCGACCTATTTGCCTCGGTTGTCTGAGAGCTGATCCCGACGGGAAAACTAAGCATCGCGGCCCCAGTGCGGGGCCTGGAGGACCTGATTGCATTCCTGATCATAATCAGCGGGATGGCACTGCTCCTGATCCTGGATCCGGGCCATCACGTGGAGATCCGTCACATCGGAGTCCTGAACCGCACCAAGGGAATTCTGGTTTCTGTTCCCACGCCGGAGCTGCCGGGCCAATGCCACCAAGGGCAATGTCTTCGCCCGTAGTCGGACGAGCAGTTCCGAGGGGGACCATCAACACGTACCCCGGATGTTCCCCTACAGGGGGGATTTTCACCGGTCAGGTTGAGCATGGAACGTCTCAGGGAGTCATTCGCGGGAGATACGGACCTGACGCTGCTGTGACAAATCAGCAGAATCCACAGCCTCACCACGGAGCACAGGATAACTCTGGCGGGCCAACTGGTTTTTCTCTTCCACCAG